ATGTAAAGCTTCTGAAAATAAAATAATTTTAATTCTCAGTAAAGAAAATGTAATATATAAATTAATATAATATATATCCAATCAAACTGTATTTCTCAAGAATCAAAATGTACTCAGCTGATAGTAATATAATGGTTTACAACTCAACTCGCATAAATTATAAGCCTTGAAATACAATCCTTTTAGGAAGTATAAAACAGAGAATATATAAAATGAGAACTTTCTGCTCTTTCCTTCCTTAAAAGAATAGAGAACAGGAGCGAGTGAGAATGGAGTTGTTAAGTAGCATGTTTTGAAGATCTCTTTCCATCTGACTTAAAAACTAATTGTTGATCTCTTTTTGGAAAAAAAAAATGACTTTATTCTAGAGTTGTGAAAGCCTTCATTGATACGTACAGTCTCAGTTTTCCCTTTGCCACTTTGAGGACAGTCACCTGTACTACTCCTTTTTCACTCTCTGCATTTTTATGCAAGGTGGACTCCATCAGAAAATGTATCCAGGGAACACAGTACAAGATTGTACTTGATAACCATAGATACAAAGTCATAATAAAATGAACACCTTTTCGGTTGTAGTAATTCAGGTGAATATGAATTTTGCATGAGATCAGTATCTATGTAAACAGGGGTGGGGAACATCCGGCCCTCTGGCTGCACAGGCCCGAGAAATCATTTGGTTTGGCCCTACCTAGGCAACGGCAGGCAGGACTCGAAATTCAATAAATGTAGGAGTTTTTTTCATAGCAACATAAACTTATAGTAAGCAAATGATGTTCTAAATATCCAAATGGCCATTGGCAGAAAAAAAGGTTCCCCACACCTGATAAATTATACTAATATAATGGGATTCTATGAAAAAATGTTCCCTAAGTCTCTGTTTCATGCTTCATGTGTAATCACCACCTATTAGTTGTCTTAAAATACTGAGTTTCAGCTTCTTAACAAATGTGTATATGAGCTTTAGATTGGTTTTAAATTTTGTACATTGGTTCTATCACAATCTATGTGATGACACATCACAGATATATGTCACCTCTTATGAGCATTTTATCGCAACTCAGAAAACAGTCCTATGTACTTAGCCACAGTATTAAAGTCTTCATTTTAAAAACAATGTAATCTCATTCATTAAACAATTCTGTACATTTATTTAGACATCAGTTTTAGAAATTTTGAGACATATACAAGCACAAAACCAGCAATAAACAAGCTTCTGTGAAGATTTGGCATGATTGATGGTCTAAACTTTTCATAGAAATTTTAATTATTCCATATAGTTTTAGAAATAAATACTCTGCAGTCTCTCTGTGTCACTCATCTTCCAGTGTTCTGTATATTTCAAGAGCAGCTTTTGGGGTTAAAGTGTGAAAATAAGTAGTAAATATGTGTGCCTAAAATTGCAAAGCACAAAATTTTCCTATTTTCTGTCTCTGACTTGATCCAAATACAAAATAATTATTAAATGATTGTTGTGCAAAAGATTGAAAACCAACCACTAATTTGGGGTCAAAACCAATGAAAATATTAAAAGTATTAAATAAATAAAAAGCCTAATTTGCCGGGTTGCGTGGCTCAGTTGGTTAGAGCATAATCCCATATACCAGAAAGGTCAGGGCACATACCAGATTGCAGGTTTGAACCCAGGTCCGTCCCTCCCTCCCTCCCTCCCTCCCTTCCCTGCGTCCTTCCCTTCAACATGCCTCCCTCCCTTCCCTGCCTCCTTCCCTTCAGCATGGTCACAGGGTCTTTTATAGTTCAGTTTTACTTTTGTATAATCAGAAAGTGTTAAGTAGAAATATATGCACACTTTTTAAATAGCCATTTACATCTGGCATGATTAAGCACTTATGTTTACTTAAAATATCTTGGATATAGCAATAGGTAAATCTGGTAAGTTTTGAGGTAACACTTTTTTTCAACTTAAAATATTTTTAAGAAATCCACCAAACCTGTGTACTTTGATAAGCAAACTGTTCTTATTGTATAGTATGTCATTATTTTCTTCTATAATTTCATGGTTTAGAAAATCAGACCTCATTTATAAAATCTATGAAGGCTGATTTCACCTATACTTCCACATTCTACTCACTCATTTCTTTCCATGTAGTTTCCTAGATATTTGTTTATTTATGTATTTATTTTTACCAATATTGTGAAGTTTAGAAATTGTGCATGTATTCATGTATGTATTTTTCCCCTGCTCAGATATATGCGTAAACTAAGTCCATATATGAGAGTGAATTTTAAGGCCAATGAACTTAAACTCAGAAACAGACATCCTCTTGTGCAGTGCCTATAGATGTCCACTTCCTAACCACATCCAGGGCCTCTGCTCAAATGCTCTTAAAACCTAACCGCAACTCACGCCCAATGGCTAAAATTATTTGTGACTTTTATGTCGTGTCAGGTTTTCCTGGGCTAACAAATGGCTGCCAAGGTAACAAAACTTATATGCCATTGACATGATTTCTTCCTTTTCCACTTGCCATTTGTCCACTTCTACCAGGAATTTATTTTGTGGGAATAAGTTTCATGCTCTGTTGTCTTTATGTATTTCTATGGTTGGGTAAGAAGGGATTTTTTTCTTTGACAGTAATCTCCATTACCATTTGGATTTATCAGTCCCTTAAATTATTAATACAAATAAAGCACTTTGCTGTGCAGCAATATGACACTACACGTTGAAGATAAATTCATATTTCTGTAATTAAATAAGCAGGGATCATCCACTTTATCAGCTTGATGAACTGTAGTGGCATAAAGCACTTCAACCGTATGGCGGTGCCTCGCTGATGGCACTCGGGTTTGGCAGGCATTTATTCATTCATCCACTGAATAAATATTGAACACTTTCTATATTCCAAGTGCTGTACTAGGTGTTGGGAAAAATCCACAGTGCACGTGCATCGATCTGATTGTAACCTAGGGTTAGAGGGCCACTCAAGAAGCAAAGCCTTTTTATTACAAGGCCATCCCAAGTGCACTTCCTTTTTCTAAAGTAGGTAGTTTTGTCTTATCCCCCATGAGGTGACCTGTGAGATAATATGACTTATGGCATAGAGAGATTTGACCATCTGACTTATGGCATAGAGAGATTTGACCATGGGTTTTAGGATAGGTTACTTAACACCATTTTCCCAAAAACCTAGACTCTTGGAACTATCATGAATTCACATAAGCACCCCCAGCAGATCTTGTCTTTTCGCTCAGTGTGGCATGGGCATTTAAACTGATGATTCCTCATTGAACTGGGCTGGTGAACAGAGTAATCTAATAGAAACACAGTACCTGTTAAAGTTAATTCTTCTCCAATTGCCTACTAAACTCAAAGGAAAATGTAGTTACTATGAAGAAATATAAATAAATCGTAAGGTGTTTGTTTTTTAACCATGAAAGCAATAATGTAACCTGAAAATTAAAATCTTCACAAGAAAATGTTAATTTGTTCACAAAATGAATGCTCCCAAGAATACAAAGCACATTGTGTGTAGGCCTAACTTAAAAAAAAACTGTTGTGTTTGTTGGGAAATTTTTTTAAAGTGCAATTCTCAAAACTTAATGTAGTAATCTACTTATGCCGAAAAGATATAAAGCTTAGCTATTAAGGTTAGTATAGATGTAGACGGTAAGAAAAACATTTCATAATAAATATTTAGATATGCTACTCTGAGGAGAGGGCAGAGAAATTGCTGTGAGGGAATCAATATTATTGTTTTCTTGTCCAATAAATAGGTCAAACTATGGAAACTTTTTATGGAACCCTCAACATTTTATTGGTTTTAGAATCTGAGTTAGTGTTTAAATATCCAAAAAACTGGAGAATACTTTTAGTGAAACTAATCAGAGAACATATTGAACCAGAATACCTATATTTAGCGCTCAAATCAGTCCTTAAATAGCATTCTAAAAAGTCACTTCACTGACTCTCAAGATCAGTTCCATGAATCTTCTCCAGGCTTGTAGGAATTAACAATGTATGCAAAAAAGGAACATTTAGCAATATGAATAGTCACAAGTCCTCCCATATTTAAAATAAGTAAAATTGGCTCTTATTCAGATAATAAGTAAACCTAATTCCAACCCAACCAAAACTTAAACTTTGTACTGTTAGCAGCTAATTTACATATTAAACAATACCTAAATAACACCAGTACCAATGAATATTGTGATACATCTTTTTTGTTAATCCTCACTCGAGGATATATTTTTTTCCCATTGATTTTTAGACAGAGTGGAAGAGAGGGAAGGAGAGAGAGAGAGAGAGAGAGAGAGAAACATCAATGTGTGAGAGACCCATGGTTGGGTTGTCTCCTGCCCTGCGGTGGGGATCCTGCAACTCAGGTAGTACCCTTGACGAGAATCAAACCCTCGACCCCTTGGTCCAAGGGTGGATGCTCCAACCACTGAGCAAAACCAGCCAGGGCTTATGGATACATTTTAAAATCTTAATTCAACTTTTTTTTTTAAGTAAGCGGGCAAAAGAGTGACACAGGAAAAGAGAGAGAGTAAAAGAGAACACAAAAGATCAAGGACTTTGAACAAAAACAAATGGTTGCCTTATCTTTGATGATCTACACATGAAATCCCCCATGTGCTCAGTATACGGGAATATTAACTTTCCCCACCCCACCCCCACCACAGACTTAGATGACTTATAAAGAATCACATATTCAGCTACAAATGGCAGAGACCCCAAAACATTAGATTGTTATTAATATATTTCCCTTTTTTGTGTTTCAATACTTCTGGCACACAGGGGATTATCTATGCTGAGACCATTTGCCCTTATATCAAAAATTCTACTTCAATGCATAAACAGTGGCATGCCAGAGATGCCTAAATTCACAGTAAGTTTTAAGGCTATTTGTTGCCGAAAGCTGTGAACATGCATGTTGACTAAGTGTTCTCATTCATGCTTCTGTCTGTATTACTTCATTGGATAATGAGATAGGTTGCCCTTTCTGTCCATCATTAGAGCAGCTGGAGACAGCATTTGCTACCTGGCAAAACTTCCGAAGAAGGATCTTTCTTAGCAGCAGATAGACCCAGGGATCCAAGATCTGGTTCAGTGAAGCCAGGCGCACAGCTATTAAGAAGAAGTTGCATTCCTTCTGCTTTTCTGAGTGCGTCTTGCAGTGTTCAACTGATGTCTGATTGAAGATCATTTTCAACATCATTATCTAAGAAAGAGGGACAAATAATTGTTCCAAAGATTAATAAGGTCATCTGCATTTCCTTTAAATGGCACTTTGCACATCGTCAGTTTACAGTACATTGGTGGTTGCAGTGAAATGAATTCAAGCAGCATTTGTGCTCACAGAACACAGCCCTGAATCATATAAGACATTCCTGTGAATGTTCCCACATTTTTGGCTCTTTGACAGGATGCAGCTTTTTAAAAAGTGTATATTCTCAGGCTCTTGATCCTTGGGATTTGAGAAGATTCAAAATAACACATCTCAAAATTAGCTAAAGTTGGAGAAACCAAGATGGCGGCATAGGTGAACACCGGAAATTGCTGCCTCTGACAACAACTTCAAAAATACAACTAAAAGACAGAACGGTCATCATCCAGAACCACAGGAAGGCTGGCTGAGTGGAAATTCTATAACTAGAAGGAAAGAGAAGAGCACACAGACTCAGAGGAGCTACGAAAGTAAAGTGCAGAGGGAAGCAGACAAAATGCGAAGACAAAGAAACAGGTCACAAATGACAGAAATGGAGGACAGCAAACGACTGGATATAGAGTTCAAAACCACGTTTCTAAGATTTTTCAAGAATTTTATGGAAACCGCCGATAAATGTAGCGAGATCCTCAAGAAATCTAGTGAGACCCTCGATGTTGTGATAAAGGACCAACTAGAAATTAAGCATACACTGACTGAAATAAACAATATTATACAGACTCCCAACAGCAGACCAGAGGATTGCAAGAATCAAGTCAAAGATTTGAAATATGAAGAAGCAAAAAACACCCAACCAGAAAAGCAAAATGAAAAAAGAATCCAAAAATACGAAGATAGTGTAAGGAGCCTCTGGGACAACTTCAAGCGTACCAACATCAGAATTATAGGGGTACCAGAAGAAGAGAGAGGGCAAGATATTGAAAACCTATTTGAAGAAATAATGACAGAAAACTTCCCCTACCTGGTGAAAGAAATAGACTTCCAAGTCCAGGAAGCACAGAGAACCCCAAACAAAAGGAATCCAAAGAGGACCACACCAAGACACATCATAATTAAAATTGCAAGGGAAAAAGACAAAGAGAGAATCTTAAAAGCAACAAGAGAAAAAAAAGTCAGTTACCTACAAGGGAGTACCCATACGACTGTCAGCTGATTTCTCAACAGAAACCATGCAGGCCAGAAGAGAGTGGCAAGAAATATTCAAAGTAATGAATAGCAAGAACCTACAACCAAGATTACTTTATCCAGCAAAGCTATCATTCAGAATTGAAGGTCAGATAAAGAGCTTCACAGATAAGAAAAAGCTAAAGGAGTTCATCACCACCAAACCAGCATTATATGAAATGCTGAAAGGTATTCTTTAAGAAGAGGAAGAAGAAAAAGGAACTCTTACCATTTGCCACAGCATGGATGGAACTAGAGAGCATTATGCTAAGTGAAATAAGCGAGTCAGAGAAGGATAAATACCACATGATCTCACTCATTTGTGGAATATAATGAACATCATAAACTGATGAACAAGGACTGATCCAGAGACGGAGAGGCATTGATTGGACTGTCGGGCCTTGGAGGGAAGGTAGGGGAGGGTGGGGGTAAGGGGGAAAGATCAACCAAAGGATTTACATGCAAGCATATAGGTCTAACCAATGGACACGGAGGGGGGGGGGGGGGTGAGGGCAATGAGTGAGGGGGGGTAGGGGGTAACATGGGTATAAGGACACATATGTAATATCTTAATCAATAAAAAAAATATTAAAAAAATAAAACTCAAAAAAAATTAGCTAAAGTTATGTCTTGTTGCAGAAAACACAGCATGCTGATACCCAGATGAGAGCCAACACTTCTACATAATCAAAATATATTTAATCTTAAACTCCAGTAGTTATAACTAAAAAAAAAACCACTGAAGAAAAAGAGAAGCAAGAAAAAAGGAAATAATAATAATAATAATAATATTTTCTGAATCCTAACAATAGTTGACAAAAATGAAGAAATGTGACTTTTCCAAATGTCAGTGAGAATGTGGAACAGCAAGGACTCTTTTACACGTTACTAGTGAGAGTGTGAGCTGGAGCCATCACCTTGGAAACCAACGGGGCACTGTTTCATCTGCTGCCTCCCAGCTGTCCTGCTCCTGGGAATATACTGGGCAAGAGCAACCCAAACACAGGTTCACGTTCACAAGCAAAGGAAGGAGCTGGCATTACAACTGGTTTCTAAATTCATCTTTCTAGGTGCCCGGCTATTTAAAGTGCTTGCAATGTGCCCAGAACAAATTGAGATGTTGGAATATGTAATGATTATATACTAAAATGATAATATTTTTATATATTGTGTTAAATAAAATATAGTATTAAAATTAAGTTCACGTTTTTGTTTTTTACTTTTTCTATTATGTTCTATTACATAGCTACTAGAAAATTTAAAATGATATACGGGGCCTATATGTGTTGCTCACAGCACATTTCTACTGAAACCACTGGCCTCTGGAGGCCCACACTTCCTGGGATGTTCTGTCCTCAGGTCGCACGTCCCAAATTGAAGTCAACATCCCTGAGCATCTGAAACACCCGAGCCGCAAACCCTCATTCTTACACAGTCGCCCTGGCCCCACATGTCAGCGACATCTTTGAATCCGCCTTTGCTTCACCCTCTCCACTGCCTTTTTTCACTCTTATTCCAATCTCATCCTAGTTCAGCTCCTCCACGCATGTGAATTTAGTAATAACAGACACCCAGATGGTGGGTTAGCACATCACAGATGCAGCAGCCTAAATCCCAGCTCTGATCAATCAGCTATAAAAACTTCAACTTGGTCTTATTGGACTAGGTTGAATCACAGGTAATTCTTAAATCAATTATTGGCAAAGGAGATAGAAAAAGCCAGATTTGACTTATCAGACAAATTTATTCCCCGGGGCTTAACCTGTGGTCTTTGACCAAACTTAATATCTAAACAAAATTATGGTCCTATAAATAAGAAAAGGGGAATGGGTAGGCAACCAGTAATTAGACAACATATCTTCTGAGTCCATAATTTCTTTCAAATGATTTTTTCCAAGGGATTTATTCAATAAAAGCAATAAAACAGCTGCACAAATAATTGACTGTTCAGTGAAGCATTATCTACACCATAAGAAACTGTGAACACATGAATCTCTAACATCAGGCGTGCAGCTTGATAAAAGACAAATATTTCCTTCCTTCCGTATGGGTCTAAAAGCTCCCTTGACCAGTTCGTTATGAGGCTGATCAGAAGGCACAACCGTGCAGCATATCCATGCACCGGCTAAAGGGAGGCTCTGGCTGTCCAAGTGTCCTGTTCTTTGTTTGTCCTTCTCCCTTGCGTCAGGAGTAGAATAGCATGTTTAGTTCACATAATAGTGCATATAAGACTTAAGTGAAGAGAACAGATTATAGGGTAGTATTATGTACATAAACATTATTCCCTTCATTAATAAATATGAATTTATCATACTCATGTATTATGCACCAAATGTGTTTTAAATTAATATATCTACATGGTATCTTCTAATGCTGGTTCATAGTCCTGTGAAATGAACACTACCTCCCACTGTGGTATGCAGATGATCCAAAGATATCCAGGTCTCATCCCGGGAACCTGTGAATATATTATCACACATGGCAAAAAAGGACATAGCAGCCCTGGCCAGGTGGCTCAGTTGGTTGGAGCATCATCCCAATATGCCAAGGTTGTGGGTTGATTCTGGTCAGAACATGTACAATGAATGCATAGGAAAGGGGAACAACTGATCAATGTTTATCTCTCTCTCTCTCCCTCCCTTCCTCTCTCTCTAAAAATAAAAATAAAAATTTAAAAAGGACATAGTAGATGTGATTAGCATTAAGGGCCTTGAGGTGGGGAGATTGTCCTGGATTATCCGGGTGGGTTCAATGTAGCATCACATGGGTCCTCAATATCTGAGAACCTTTTCCAGCTGTGGTCAGAGGAAGACATGACTACAAAAGAATGGTCAGAGAGATAGAACGTTGCTGGTTTTGAAGATGAAGGAAAGAAGCCATGAGTTAAGGAATATAGATGGATGGCCTCTAGAAATGGAAAAAAGCAAAAAAGTCAGTCTCAGATTCTCTTTCAGAGCTTCCAGGAAAAAAATGCAGCCCTATGGACACTTGGATATTAGCCCAATGAGACGATGTCTGGCTTCTAACCAACAAAACTGTAAGAGAAATTTGTGTTGTGTTGTTTTAAGCCACCGAGTTTGGAGTAATTTGCTAAAGAGCTGCCGCAGGAAACTAATACACCACAGAGTGAGCGCTCAGCAACTGTTGAGAGGGGATGGGGAGGAATGAGCTTGAAAATGACTTATTCCCTCTCATAGATAACACATCCTAGCAAGCTTGTTCACTTTCTTAGGAAACTTTAACCTAAATAAAGTAAAAGTAAACTTCATCCTCACCCCTGTCTAAATTATCTCAATTTCTAAATTTGCAACATGTAAAAGTGAATTCTTGTTATTCTAGTGACATCAGTTAGATTTCAGTGTATTTGACTAAAAGGTATAAAACTGTATTTTCAATTCAGTTGTCTTTATATAAAAAAATATGTGGCTAGTGCCCTGCCAGTGTGGCTCAGTTGGCTGAGTGTCGTCCATGCACTTTGGTCACGGATTGATTCCCGGTCAGGGCACATGCCCGAGGTTGCAGGCTTGATCCCCAACCGGGGGCATACAGGAGGCAACCAGTAGATGGTTCTCAATCATTGATGTTTCTCTCCCTCTCCCTCTCCCTTCCCTCTCTCTCTCAAATCAATAAACATATTGATTTGAAAAGTCATTGCTAGCTCTCTCTCAAATCATTTGGGAGAGAGCTAGCAAGTATTTTTTCTTCTTTTTATAAACAATTGGAAAGGTTTCATCTAGCTCTTTCAGCCCTTCATCTTGTCTAATAATTAAATACATTTCACCATTAACCATCTTCCTGAAAGTGTTCTGAGTCTGGTCTAGAAAGATTTA